ACAATACGCAGCGTCGAATGGCCGAAATCGCCATATCTGACTATACAGTCAACAGCATGCTTTACCAGGCTCACAGGTACTTCTCGTTTTTAAGCTTTCAAGATAGGCGACGATTTTTCGAGAGAATTACACTGTAATAAAAGAACAGAGAATGCTATATAGTGAGCCAACGCAATAGGACTTTGAAAGGCAGAGCCCGCATTAAAAAAATGATGGGTTATGTGGCATAGTAATAACAGGGCAGCAAGTGATTCAGTAGTGAAGGAAAGCAGGAAAAATTATTCAAAGCGACTCTCTCCATGAGCTTTAAACCACAAGTTTATGGCAATGTTTTTTTGTCGAGTCTCGTTCATAAAAATGATAAAATGGCAGGTCGCATTGTCCAAGCCTCAAGCTGGTTCTTATAGCGAGGATACTCGATCCCTGGTACTCTATGTTATCGGCCTAAGTCATCGATGTAGACTACAAAACGGATAAACTGCTTATGACGAAAGGGGGATAACGTTGTCATTAATCAGTCTGAGACCTTTGAAGGGGCAAAATTACAATAGCGGCAAAATTCACATATTTTATCAGGCAATAGCAATATGTTGGAAACTGTGCCCATCAACACCAGGAAGTGGTGGGCGGGCTTCAGAGCTTCGAGTTCTTTCTCAATATTGCGTTAGATGTCCAAGTATTTGTATCCCATGACGCGACGGTTTAAAGTGAGGTCCTTCCTAAAGGCGGGGTCGAGTTACAGGTGTGTGAGGTAGTAGCAGCTATACGTTGTACCCTATCCAGCAGATTCTGCTACTCTGTTTTGCGTAAGCTCAGTCAAATGCACATCAAACGCATGTTTTTCTTTTTATCGGCGAAGTTCATTCAGATTCATCTGCGAAGCGCTGTTTTAGATGATATCGCAAGGATATCGAGCCTTACTTCGGACTATATTGCAGTTGATAGAGTCGCAGTTTGGAGAGATGTGGTCAGAAGGCGTGAGATGACTCACCACTTTTAAAACGTTTTCTACTACTGGTTGTTTTCCACCTGAACTGACCACTGTTGATAAAAAATGCAGCCACGACTGGCTCATTTCACGCGTCTGACATCGCATCCAGGATTCGTGTGACATCAAACTCTAGATCTGCGCATTCAACAAATTTCTGTTTAGTTAAGTGATTCGCGAGCCAGTTATACTTTTTAAGAACGAATTCGCTCCTGTTTCACATCGACTCCCACTCTCCCGGTGTCGGAAGTCTTCTAAAGACCACTTGCAGTGTCAACGAGGTCTGCCTTTCTGATCAGGTGCCAGAGGTGAGTGATAAATATTAGCTGCTTTCATTATCTTGTCTGAAATCAGAACATGTTCCAGATAGGAACTGCGTATCCCGGAAGGACTTTGGAGATCATAATAAGAACTACACGTCCTCCTGTGATCTATTTCCATCAGGGCAAGTTGACGAGCTGCTCCGTCCTAATGAAACTGTGCAACAGTTCCCGGATTTCACATCACACTAAGGCTGCGTTCATGCTTTGCGGCAGCGTCCACTAGCGTTTCGACATCCGGCAGCGTCAACGACTGGGAAAGTATAAATATCGATCTAGCGTCCGCTAGTGTGTACCAGCGTCTCCCAGCGTCCACCGTCGTCTCGTCCAGCAGCGTCTCGAGGGCCTGAGAAGTACAGGTATCTATCTAGCGTCTACCAACGTATGCCAGCGTGCGCCAGCGTCTTCCAACGTCCGGGAAGGAGAGTATGGGGAGATAGGAGAGTGGCAGACTTGGTAAAGAATGTGGCGCGATAGGAGTGTACATAGCAGAGAGTTCTTAGAGTATCGAGAGGTAGGAGGGTGGCAGACTGCTGGGAGAGAGTATGCGGCTATAGGAGGGTACCGGCTGTCTGCTACCCTCATATCGCGCCATACTCTCCTCACCTGGACGCTGGGAGACGCTGGTGCACGGTAGTTGACGCTAGATCGGCATCTATACTTTCCCGTCGCTAACGCTGCCGAACGCTCAGAGCGCTGGTGGACGCTACCACAAAGTATGAACGCAGCTCAACAGCTTATTCAAACGCTTTCATGTTTCTGTTCCAGATGAGTTGAGGATGAATTTTGATGGGCGATGCCTGTTCTTCTTGGAAGGTACGAGACAGAAAGTTGGCGTAATTCCCTTTTCATCAGAAGCCTCCATCCAACTACAAACTGAAGGATCAATAA